AAAATGTGATGAAATTTTCTAATGCTTCATCTTTAGCACTTAAGAATAGAACCCAAGTATATCTAGAATAGTCATCTACCAAGACAAATGCATATTGTTTTCCATCCAAGCTAGTAGTCCTAGTTGGCCCAAAAAGATCTATATGGATCAATTATAATACTCTACTAGTTGATACGTCATTAATGAATTTAAAAGAAATTTTCTTTTGTTTTCCTTTAGGACAAGCATCACAGATTTTATCATTATCAAATTTAAGCTTAGGCAACCCTCTTACTAAGTCTCCTTGAATTAGCCGTTGCAAAACACTCATGCTAGCATGTCCTAGTCTCCTATGCCATAACCAACTATCATGTTCATCCTTAGCAACTAGGCACAAATTAGTCATATCAATAGAATCTAAATGCACCATGTATATATTTCCTATTCTATGACCAACAAGCATAATCCGATTAGATGCAATGTCAATGACTTTACAACCATTAATTTCAAACATGACATTGAATCCCTTATCGCATAATTGACTAATACTCAATAGATTAAGCTTTAATCCATTCACATATAACACATTTTTAATTTGTATGGAAGATGTATTACCTATAGTACCAATACCTTCAATGTGACCTTTTGAATTATCACCAAAAGTCACTTCTCCTCCATTTTTGGTGTTAAGCTCTATGAATCGGCTTTTGTCTCCGGTCATGTGTCTCGAGCATCCACTATCAAGGTACCATGAATTTGGATTTGTTTCCCGTGCCTTGTAGAAATGCTTCTTTTCCTACAAACATAGATTAATTTCTAATTTTTGGTACCCAAATTCTTTTGGGTTCATATTCATTAGTTTCTAAAATACTTGTCCCCTTTGGTATCCATTTATGAAGGACATCCTTATCTTTAGTAGTAATGAATTCTTTAGGAACCCATATACTCCTAACAATTTTACCATTCAAGGTTCATTGAGGACTTCTATGATTGTAGCTTCTAAAACTTTTCTTAACAAAGTTGGATTTTGAATTCTCACCTTTTTCAAAACTTTTTGTTCCAACCTTATTAAAAGAAGTTTTAATATCATCAATCTTCTTTTGATGATCATCATGAACTTTTGAAAGTAAGTTATGCAAATCAGTATTTTTCTTTTCAAAATCATTAATTTTGATTTGCAATTCTTTGATCTTACTTTCAAGCTCATTGTTGGTCTTGGATATAAGACTATTTTCGTTTTTCAATTTTGAAATATCATTTTTGTATTTTGAAAATAGAGTCTTATAATCCAAAGTCAACCCATTATAATCCTCTAATAACTCATCATAATATAATTCATCCAAATTGAATGAGTTAGAGGTTACCTTAGAATCTTCCCCGATAGCCATCAAGCACAAGTTTGCAACTTCTTGTTCCTCTTCATCGAAACCTTCTTCATCGCTCCATGTAGCTACATGAGCCTTGTGCTTCTTTTTGGATTGACCTTTTTTCTTCAATTATGGGCAATCATATTTAACATGCCTCGGCTTTTTGCATTCATAGCAAATGATCGGGTCTTTCTCATTCGATTCAATTTTGAAGCCTTTATGACGTTTGAATTTTCTTCCTCGGTTAGGCATCGTCAACTTTCTGAATCGTTTTGGCAAATAATGTTATTTCCTCATCATCATCATCGTTATTCGAATCACTCTCATCTTTTGTGGATTTGAGAGTAACTCCAATATTTTTCTTCTTCTCCTTCTCCTTTGGTGTCTCGTAAATATTATCGAGGTCCACTTCATCTTCAAGCATCATTTCATGAGTGAGAAGGGAACCGATTAGTTCTTCAAGAGTTAAGGACGTTAGGTCCTTAGACTCGATGATTGTCGTCTTCTTTGATTGCCACGATTTTGGAAGGGAGTAGACTAACTTCCTCACAAGCTTTTTAATTTGAAATGATCTATCCATATGATTTGAGACCATTGACAATCGTTGAAAATCTATTCGTCATAGCTTTGATATCTTCATTTGGTTTCATCCTGAAATTTTCATAGTTATGCATTAGAATACTAATTTTAAATTTATTTACCTCATCGGTACCTTCATTAGTGACTTGAAGTTTGTCCCATATTTCTTTGGCGGCTGTACAAGATGAAACTCTTCCATATTCATCTGGTCCAAGAGCATAAAATATGATATGGATGGCTTTGGAGTTGAGCTGGAATATTCTTGTCTCTCCTTCACTCCACAACCTTGGATGAGTGAGAGGCTTGATGTATCCTTCTTCTACGGCATTCCATGCTCCCATGTCACTTGCTTGAATGAAGTACATCAACCTATTTTTCCAATAGGCATAGTTAGCCCCATTGAAGAAATGAGGTTTATTGACGGGCATCGAATCGAGACCGGAGTCGAAGTTTGAAGTGGATGCCATTGATGACTTTGATTATCGATGTAACTCTTCCCGAATCGACTCAAGAGGTGATTAAACCTTCAAATGAGTTAGGCTCTGATACCAATTGTTGAATTAAACGATCGATGGAATCGGCCAAGAAAGGGGTGAATTGGCAATTAAAATTTTGGTGGAAGTTTTTGCAGAAAATTGAAAGTAATTGCACAGCGATTTAGAGTGGTTCGACTTTCTCAACAAAGTCTACGTCCACTACCTTAACTATCCACACTAAGGATTTTCAATCAAATTCACTAATTTGTTCTTTCTTTTGAGGCCAAAGAGATAACCTTACAACTCCCTCAAGAATTATACCCCAATTCTTGAGAACGCTCTTTCTCAAAGAGAATATTACAAATTTCTCAAACTTATAAGAAAAACCTCACAAGGTAAGATGTTTGCACAATTCTAGAACAAAGAAAGAACACTCAAGAATAAATATAATTGAGCACAATAAGTGTTCTTGAAAGCAAAATGAATATTGAATGAAAAATAGACTTGAAATGCTCAAACTTGAGGTTTGATGCTTTCTCTTTGATTCTCTCTTGATTCTAGTTGCTTGATGTTTCTTGTTTTGATCAATGGCTTCTAAGCTTGTTTAAATACACCTTTAATCACTTCTGAACATTGGGGATGATTAGTGGAGTCAATAGAGCCGTTATTGTGTGAAAACAATTAATAAAACTGGTTGGGAGCATTGGTGAATCGATGCATGACCATAGTGCATCGGTGCATCAGTGTAAAATTTAAATATTTTAACCGTTGGAACACTTAGTGCATCGGTGCACCAAGTGTGCATCGATGCATAAAATGCATTCGATGTTTGAAAATAGCCTGAGTGCATCGGTGCATTGCTTGTGCATCGATGCATGAAATGCATTCGATGTTTTAATAAAACCCAAGTGCATCGATGCACTCTCTATGCATCGATGCATGAAATGCATTCGATGTTCAATTTATTCAATGGTGCATCGATGCATGGATTGATGCATCGGTGCATGCCTTTAAAAAATTGATTTAAGGCTTGATTTGGTTCAAAATACTTTGTGAAAATTGTTTCAAAAATAGTTTAAGTACAAATCACAATTTTACACATTTAGTAAGGATTAAAATTGATCTTGAAAGACTTGGAGTAATAATTTGATATCCAATTAATTAATTCGAATATAGCTTAGAAAATCATTTGTAAAATCTTAAAATTCATTTAACTTAATTTGTTATATCGAAATATCAAAATGTTTTCAACAGTCCACTATGATCATAAATCATAAAAATGATATTATACAATATAAAAAAATATTAACATAACAACAATCGTAAAATTAACAAATATTTATAAAAATAATATTAACATAATAATCAATAGTAAAATACCTCAAATAAAATTTCTTCAAACTTAATTCACATTCTTTCTGCAAAAACAAATTAACAAATTATTAGACTAATTTCAGACAAAATAACAGAAATTTAAATCAATTTACCATATAATACATAATCAAATTAGAATAACGAAAGAAAAAACACACCAAAATTTTTGAAATACTCCTCTGTTAATCTTCTTTGCAATTGCTTCTGCTCCCTCTATCAATTTTCTGAACTGAAATTGCCTCGATTTCCTTCTTACATATATATAGTTGAAAGAATTTTTTTTTATGTTCAACTTGTTATTACATGGTATAGGTTAGGATAGGATAGGGGTATAGGTTAAGTTTTTATCATTCGAATGTCAGCTACCTACTAGCTTGTATCGACATGAGTGGCATGCATTGAGACTTTGTCGGCCACATGAGAGGAAGATGCATGCGACTTTGCCGACCACGCGAGGGGAGTCAGGAAGACGCATGGCATACCATGCGACTTCACCGGATGGAGATGCATGGCAAGCCATGCGACTTCCCTGGCCACGCATGGCTTTCCATGCATTTTCGAGGGGCCTCAACTGGAACGCCAGGACAGCAATGCGACTTCGGGGCACACTGTAGCATTCACCTTATTCCACGAAATAATTTCTACACAGCATTATTCGAGGAATTATTTTTTCCCGAGTCCATCTGAAAAATTCAACCTTATTACACCATCTTATTGATATTTATTCATGGTTTAACATTTCTGCATAATTATAAATATTTATATATATTAAATTTTAACTTTATTATTTATTTTTCATTAAAATTTACCTTAATCTTTTAAAATGAGCTGTATAATTTTTTTAATAATCAGGTAATATTTATTCATAATCTTACTTAACAAATGACGATGCATATTGCATACGTAACTATTCGAACTAAAGACCGTAAGGAAGAATAATACTCTCTTTAATTTCTAAAGTCACTCAATAAGTTTAAAAGAGCAGCATAGTTATTCTCTTAATAAAAATACCAATTTAATTATCATCATATTGACATAGCAACTTAGTTAACAAATATTTTAATTTGATTTGAATTTGATATTATTTATCTTATATATCATACTATTAAATAATTAAAATTTTAAAATTAAGAAAAAACACAACTAAAAACATATAAATAAATTTAAACATTAATTATAAAGAAAAAAGAATGTATGTAATATATATATATAAAGAAAAAGAATGTAAGGAGGGTAAAGAGTGAAAAGAATACAAAACCTAATATGAAAGTGAAGGGCTTTGAATGTGATTCTCAGAATTGGTAAAACCAAGGTTTTGGAAGCTTAAAAACACGTTTTCCCAAAGATGAGCCTGTCAATGCGTCCATTCGGCTGCTAATCACACTCACTATCTCATTACCTTGTTTCCTTGAAATTGCTCCTCTTCTTCTGGAAAAGTATTCCCAGCTTTCCATTCCCATTTCGTCATCTGACCTGCAATATTTTCCTGGGAAATTTAACACTTCTACTGAATACTGAATCTGACTTGGCTCATGCAACACAACCTTAAAAACAGGTTAAAATTTTTCCCAACATCCAGAGTTTAGTGCACTATATATACTCAAACTATAATTCTCATCTTGAATTAGTCCTTTAACTTTTAAATATTTTAATTTCATTCCCAAACTATAATTCTCTTTCTAAATTGATATTCAAACTTTAAAACATTCCAAATTAATCCCCAAACTATAATCTTCATTATATATTAGTCCCCAAACTTTTGAACGTTTCAATCTCAACCCCCAACTTTTCAATGACTTTGGGAAGATTATTTGAATGTTTAAAAAGTTTGCGAACCAATTTAGAATATGAGTCATAGTTTGGGTATGTTGGAACGTTCAAGAGTTTGGGGATCATTTTAGAATGAAAGTCATAATTTAAAGATTAAAATAGAATATTCAAAAGTTCAATGACTAATTTAGAATGGAAGTCATTGTTTGGGGACGTATGTTGCATTTAACTCCAACATCCACAATCTAGTTGGTATCAAGAAGCTAATACTGTAATGCTCATAATCAAAAGAAAAAGATAAGTACCGACAATACCTCAGAATCAAAGGACAACTTATAAATCCTATGGTATTAAGGTGTTCAATTGTAACATTTCTAAGCCTCTCGGGCTTCCTCGATAAAAGGATCAAAGACCATCCTCTGGACTGAAGTTTCATACACAATTCCACAGTTAGCCGCAGCTTCAGATTGGTCGCATCTTCAATGGAACCACTTGGCTTGTTAGAGCCATATTGCAGGTTGAACCTGATCCGCACTCGAGTTTTATTAACCCGAAAATGAAGAGTCGAAGTAACATAGCGAAGAACAGAGGGACTTACTGATGCTGATGTATTAATTGATAGGAGTATGCAGGATCTGAATCAAGGATGTCATCTATGTCCACTAACACAACATCCGGATGACTATTCGATGGTGAAATAGTCTCGAAAAAACTTTCGATCATCGAGATCGATAAATTTAAGTCTCGTTCGTATTCTCCGTGTTCGATATATTCGTAGGAGAAATTCTGGCAGACCGGAGGAATATCGGATTGTTTCAAGCTGTTGAGCTCGCCATGTGAAGAAAAAGCCTTGCAATAATGGTAAACATCACTGCCTTTATGGATCTGCACTACTCCCTTGCTCCTGCTTTCACAAGACTGCAGCATTACTGCTAATGTGACGACCAAAGTTACCAATAGAACACCGGTAGTTAGAAGACCAGCAATGAAGATTGTAGCAGCAAAAGAGGTCATGTAGAATCCCGATTCCAGCACATATCGGCTTCCCATCTCCGTTCCTGCCGAGAATGACCGAAATCAATACTTAAAAGACTCCCAGAAAAAGGGTGTTCGAATATTCGAATATTCGAATATCAGACTAGGGTATTTGAATATTCGAATATCTGAAGTAGAATGGGGAAAAAATTAGATTATTACCAGTATCTTCTCTGCTCAAGAGACTCTGAACTGAGAAGTCTCGTTCCATCTGATGGCCATAGGCTGACATGGTGATTCAATCAGGTGAGGCTCAAAGCAGAGCGGCAAAATCTGCAGATCCAGATCCTTTCAAAATCATTCAAGGTCACCTGTAACAACAAATAAAAATCAACTGACCCGAAATTATTTTTGACTACATGGGTGGGAATCAGTGGTGTGATTATAAAGACAATCCCAGCTTTACAGTAAAAAGAGAAGCTTCATGATCTCCCTGGTCTGAGCTAGAAATGAGTGAATATAAAAGGTTTAATATAAAAAATAGTACAATATATTTAAATTTGATTTGTAGTGTTTAAATTTTTTTATTAAAAATAAGAGTAAAGTATAGTAATGGTCACTGAATTTTTCTAAAGTTTTCATTTAGGTCCCTTAACTTTTAAAAATTACAATACAGTCCCTTAATATTTAGTCTGTTTTTAATATGGTCCCTCAACATTTAGTCCGTTTGCAATATAGTCCCCGACGTAACTATTGGGGACCATATTGCAAAAGGACTAAATGTTTGGGGACTGTATTGCAAGTTTTAAAAGTTAAAAAACCTAAATGAAAGCTTTATAAAAATTCAGTGACCATTACTATACTTTACCCTTTATTTAAATTCTGTTATGCTTATACTCTTTTCTTTTTGTGACAATTAACCGATGCATATCCTCAACTAATGAAAAAATTTATATTTATTTACTCTATCGTGTATTTACTCTTTATTTTAAATGCTTAAGAAACCAAGTTTAAGTCATTATATATCTATAATGCTTATTCATTGCATCAAAGTGTGAGTTCATAAAATTATACAAATTTCTGGTTGATTGTGAGAGAGTAGCCCAGTACATATAAACGGATGGAGAGAATCATCATCTCACCAATGAGGCAAGGCACACCCTCGGCTTAAAGGATAAAGGAAACGACTTTAAAATTATCAGGATATCAGCTGGAGAGTTATGAATCCCCAATAAACTTTTTTTTTTAATATTCTACAAGCAATTAGACATAATTCAGAGGCAGCAGAATATGAACCAAAGACCGTTCCGAAACAATCCAGACCACAAAATCTTGTGCTCAATGAAGGACTGAAGAACTACTTTAACCTAGGAGCACAAGAGCTTTTACTGCATAACATGAATAACAATACACAACTACCCATTCTCATCTATATGCTTGTATTGTAAAACTAATATTAGATAGATAAATATGGATCCACAACATCCCAAAAACCTACAGCCTTCGGTGTCATCCCCGGTTAAACCCTCAATTTTTGGAGAATAATTAAAAAAAGAAAACTAAATAGATTGGATGTAAACCAGCTCTATACAAATGCGTCTAATTGTATAACATGAATGTATGGAAAGCAACACTGACTAGACCCTAAGCCATGAACAAAAGCATCAAAACCATTTCTCACGCTTATAGGCAAAATGGAACTAAACAATTCCCAAGAGGATTAAGTAGTTAAATATCACAAGCCTAGAATAAGAAAGTTTAGCTTACTTAACAAAGACTGCAATAGAGATTCATTCAGACACGACTGGCGGCCACAACAATATCTACAGGTAGCTAAAACATGATAAGCATTAAGAACCATTCAGCCAAACTCAACCATTTAATCCGGAAATCCATAATTATAACAAAAATGTTATTGTTATTTAAATATATTTTCTCAAACAAAACTTAAAGATCCCAGAAGAGCTAAGAATCGAAAAACATGAAAAAAATACTTTTAAAACTCATACAAGCATGCAACTGTACGAGGAACCCTCGAGCATTGATCTTTTGCTTTGCCTGCTTAGTCAAAGACGCTGAAACCCATATCCTGAATTAAAATGAAATTGCATTAGTTAAGCACACACCAAAATAAGAATCAATAGACAATTACAACATGAAAAGGTAATTACATCATCGGATTCTTCTTTCTCCTCGACCTTCTCCTCTTTCTTGGCCTCAGCAGCAGGAGCAGCACCGCCGCCGCCGCCGCCAGCTGAAGGAGCGGCAGCTGCAACAGCACCACCACCATAAGGAACTGAAGCCAACTTCTCCCTTCCACGAGAAATTAATTTGGTAATATCTTTTCCTTTAACTTCGGACAATAGCAACTCTATCCTATCATCTTCAGCCTCAGCTCCAACTACAACATTAAAAAACGAATCATTCTTTTTGCCGTTCATAATGCTAAAGAAATCTCCAATAACCTATTTCGCATAACATCATTTCCCCCACAATTTGTATTAGGGTAAAGTATAGTAATGGTCACTGAACTTTTCTAAAGCTTTTATTTAGGTCTCCCGACTTTTAAAACTTACAATACAGTCACCCAACATTTAGTCCATTTGCAATATGCTCCCCCAACAGGTACGTCAGGGACCCTATTGCAAACGGACTAAATGTTGAGGGACCATATTGCAAACGGACTAAATGTTGGGGGACTGTATTGTAAGTTTTAAAAGTTGGGGGACCTAAATGAAAGCTTTAGAAAAGTTCAGTGATCATTACTATACTTTACCCTAAAAATAATTATCTAATATTTTCTTTGTTATACTTTTAGATGACTATCGTTAAAAAAAATCTAAGTAAAACGTGTAACGTTTATAATTTTTTTTATTTTTTAAAAAAATAAAATATTTTTTATAAATATTTTTAAAAAAACTGAACGTAACATGTTTCACTTAACTATTTTTTTAAATGGTAGTTACTTAAAAATGTAATAGAAAAATCATTAAATGCCTATTTTTAACAAAAAAATCTTTAAATATAAAAAATCAATTTTAAGTATAATATAGACTTTTATTTTTATATTAAACTAATATAAAAAGGGTAATTCTTGGGAATCAAGTTTCCATTTTTCTCAAGATATCTTCAAATGGATGGGAGGTAGGGGTTTAAATGAAATGAACCGAGCTTGAATTAATAAGGTTGTGTTTCAGTTTGTTTTACTTACTTTTGAAGGTGTTCATGTTTGGTTGATGTTTATTTAAATTTTTAATATCATATTGGTTTATTTATTGTTCGCAAATATATTCGCTTAATGTTTATAAACATGTTCGTTTAGCTTTTAATTTTTAATTTTCATCGTTGCAAACAAAAATACCTTGTTTTGACTATATCGCACTATGTATCACTTAATAACTGAATAGATCTCCTATCTTTGGTTCAAATCGAATTTGAAATGGAGAAATTTCAAGTATATTTAAAACTAAATAGATCTCATTGACACGATTTCCTATACCCACTTATATTTTCGGAAGTATATTTATGCACTTGCTCGTGATCATGGTTTAGATAAACCGATGATTTTTTTTTTTGGAAAATGAGGGTTATGGTAATAAATTCAGTTCACTAATTGTGAAACGTTTAATTATTCTCCAAGTTAAAGAAAAATGGTAAATTATGTTACTAGTGCATAAACTCAGTAAGATTCATAGTTTAAACTCTAAATTACATCATGTGTTCAATTTAGTACCTACCTTAACTGATATATAAAATATAAAAAAAATAAAAAAGAGGAGAACCATGTAAACATGCTTCTAAAAGAGCTATTAGACGAGATTTTTCATGAACATAAACGAGTTTGTAAACGAGCTTGTTTGTGAATATAAACGAACTAAACATACTTATATTCGTGTTTGTTCGTTTATTAAATGAAGATTAAAATTTTGTTTATACTCATTTATTTAATTTAATTTAATAAACGAACATCATAAAAACAATTTACGAAAAGTTCACCACGTGCTCTATTTATTTACACCCTAATAGGGTCCATAAATATTTTCTTTATTAGATATAATGATAATAATCACTGAAGTCAAATATTGCTGATCAACTCAGTGTTTAACGTAGAAATTTGGTAAAAAGAAAGATTAAAAAACAACAATTAGAAAAGAAAAAAAAACACCTAACAAATTACAATAGAGAAAATAACCTCAGTGACCAAAAATCTCATATAATATACGATTTTAACCAACTTTTTCCGGATTTGCCAAAATGACCAACAAAATCGCAATGCGATCGCTAATTCGCAACGCGATCTCCATTATCGCAAATTCGCGTTGTATTTTCGCAATGCGATAGTTGAAAATCGCGTTGCGATGGTCTACAGTATCGTTGCGATTTTCCCAATTCGCAATGCGAATAAGTAAATCGCAACGCGAATTGGGAAATTCGCAATGCGAATAAGTAAATCGCAACGCGAATTGGGAAAATCGCAATGCGATAATAAAAAATCGCAACGAGATACTTACTTTCGCAACGCGATACTGACTTTCGCAACGCGATTTACATAGCGCCATTCGTATTAACGCGTATTTTTTTTCAAATTCCAAACACGTATTTTTTCTTAATAAATCGGAAAATGAACCGTCCACAGTAATCGCAACTCATAACCTCAAACCCAAAAACACAACACTCAGTCCCATCTCCATCTCTCACTCTCTACGGCGAAATCCGTCCCCATCTCTGAAGATTTCCGTCCCCATCGCCGGCGAAATCCCTCACAACCATTCACAGTCAAAAATCCCTCACAATCATTCAGAAATGGAAAATCAACCTCCGAGGGTTAGTTTTTTTTATTTTTATTTTGAAATTTTTGCATTATTTTAGGTTTTTCATATTGAGATTGATGATAAGTTTACTGGTAATTTCAATAATAGATTAACCATTTCACTTAGATTTCTTATTAAATTCATTCGATTGCTGCCAATACTGCTAAACTGTTTAGCCTGTGAAGTTAGTATTTGTCTTTTGGTTGAAGTAATGCAGAATAAGAATAGTTTCGAGAATGAAAATCGCAACGCGTAAATAACTATCGGAACGAGAGAATCGCAACGCGAAATGAAAATCGCAACGCGAAACCAAAATCGCATTGCGATTTTCATTTCGCGTTGCGATTTTCATTTTGCGTTGCGATTCTCTCGTCGCGATAGTCATTTCGCGTTGCGATAGTCATTTTCGCGTTGCGATTCTCATTATCTCGTTGCGATTTTCATTTCAACCAAAAGACAAAAACAGTGTTGCAAATTTTAGTTTCAAGAATAAACTACTATTTATGTTTATTGTTTTGTTTTTGGTATATCTTGACAGTGTAATTTTTGGTATATCTAACTTGGTATG